CAGAGGGTGTCCTGGTCTCTCAGGCTGTGACAGAGGGTGTCCTGGTCTCAGACTGTGACAGAGGGTGTCCTGGTTTCTCAGGCTGTGACAGAGGGTGTCCTGGTCTTTCAGGCTGTGACAGAGGGTGTCCTGGTGTCAAGCTGCAGCTTTCAAACCTGAGAGGCTCCCCATCGCTGGTGCTCCCCTAGATCTGGCTGGCAGATTGCATGCCCCTGTTTGGTCCTGGCTGGGGTGTCATCCTAAGCAGGACCTGTTGTCTGTGCCTACCTTGTGTGTGGTGTGCTCTAGGCCCTGGGATACGGGAGCGACCAAGCAGCAGAGCATCTCTGTCCTCCTGGGCACCGATGGGAATAGCATGCTGGGGAGAGCCGCTGGGGAGACCGCAGGCAGGGTGACGTATCCATCCCTGTTTTTAATGCACTTCTGATGAGACACTGAACTGAGCAGCATTAGTTTATCCTCTTGTCTTTGTCCCCAGATCCTCTCAGTGGAACCATAACTTTCTTACCTCTGGAGGAAGACGCCGAGGGGAGTTTAAAGGTGAAGAGCAGCAATGTGTATCAGATTCAGCTCCGCCGTGGCCAGCAGGCGTGGTGAGAACTAGATAAATAATTCCTTTTCAGTATTCTTTGGTTTTATGGATTATTCTTTAGGTAGCTTAAAGATCTTGGGTCATTTAAGCGGTAAATGTATATGTTAAAAATAAGAATTTAAACCAGCCCTGCTTATTCATATTTCTCTTATTTTTGAAGGTTCATATCTGTTTTAATTTTCTGTCCAGAAAGATGGTATTCCGATGGCATTGTGTATCCGAAACCCACCTGGCTGGGAAAAGAACTGCTGGCCAGGTTGGCCAAGTGGTCGGTGGAGAGCAAGAAGAGTGAGTTTAAAAGCACTCTCTCGCTTGTTTCCATTGCAAAGTACAGCAAGCTCTACCAGGAACTTAAAGAGGAGTATAAAGAGATGGTTAAGGTAATTCTGGGGGAAATACCCATGATCCGCCCTCACCGTTTAATGAGGTAGTATGATCCCTCAAGGGAAGGTCAGTTTGCTTTTCCTGTGAACCTTCTAGTTTCGTACAGACGTAGACAGCAGTGAGAGCACGCCCTTACGCTTACCCATGGCGGGCTGTCACGGTCCGGACTCAGGGCTGCAGACCGCAGCACCATTTGCAGATGTGGTCTGGGAAAAGGGTCTGTCTTTTTTGGCACATCACCAATTTTCATAACGAGACCTCATGTTCGCACAGCTAGCGCTTCAGTTTTTCGAAGCACTGGGACGGTCCTGCTGTGCGTTAGTGGGGGCGTAGGCTTTGTTCCTGTCGCCCCGATTGGGAGACAGAGACAGACGGGCAGCTGATGTTTGCGGCGGTGGTGCTGGCACACTAGCGCAGCCAGAGCGTTGCCTCCCGACCCTGAACTGTTGGCAGGCCTTACCTGTGGTCCGCGCATCCTTGTGCACTAGCCTCGTGTAGGTAGACAGGATGGTCGTAGCTGGACGCTTGCCCCTGATGTCCATTTGCTGCATCTAGAAATCGGCGTGCCTGTCCTTTATTGCAGTCCTTCCCTGGGCTGTGTTGTCCTGGACACACAGGTGGTGCTGGCATCCTGTGCTGCTTTGAGGACCCCTCTCCTCAGAGGAGACGGTGCGTGAATCTTTGCCTTTGGAACAAGCTTATGTATAAAACCAAACCCACTGCTGTCGAGTGGATTCTGGCTCATAGCCACCCTCTGGGACTAGAGTAGACCTGTCCCACAGGGTTTCCAAGGAGCGGCTGGTGGATTCTAATTGCCGACCTTTTGGTTAGCAGCCGAGCTCTTAACCACTGAGCCACTGGGGCTCCAGATACTCCGTAAGTCAAAGAAAATATTACAGTGGAAATTAAAAAAAAAATGTATGTTTATATAAATAGTACCTTATTGTGCTTTCGGTGAAAGTTTACACAGCAAATCAAGTTTCCATTGAACAATTTCTACACAAATTGTTCAGTGACGTTGGTTACACTTTTCCCAGTGTACCAACAGTCTCATTATTTCCGTTCTGCTTATTCTGTTTGCAGTACTCTAGTTTCCCTGCCCCCTTACCTTCTCATCTTTGCTTTAGAGTAATTGTTGACCATTTGGTCTCATACCAGTGTTTTGTGAAGGGTGCAGCTGTACGCTGTAGCGGTAAGGTCGTCCCTGTCTGACTTCAGGGAGAGTGCGAATCACCACCAGCCCAAGGCTGATCCCTGTGAAGTGAGGGCAGACATGCTTCTGCCCCCCAACCTGACACCAGTTCTAACACCAGCTGTCCTCCCACGGCACCCTCTACTTCTCTGCTGGCTTCTGTAATTTGTTGCAGTGGCCACACAGAACTCACAGACAATACTCACAGTTATGGGGCTTATTAGGGAAGCAACACGGGATCAGGATCAATTGGAAGTAACAGGAATAACTTAGGATACAGGTCTTCAGTCAGGCAGCTTCTTCTCAGCTGCTGCTGCCGTGTTCCCACTCAGGCCTGGCCTCTGCCCTGCTCGGCCCTGGTCTCTCTCCTGCTGGGCCTGGTCTCTGCCCTGCTGGGCCTGGTCTCTGCCCTGCTGGGCCTGGTCTCTGCCCTGCTGGGCCTGGTCTCTCTCCTGCCGGGCCTGGTCTCTGCCCTGCCGGGCCTGGTCTCTGACCTGCTCGGCCCTGGTCTCTGCCCTGCTCGGCCCTGGTCTCTGCCCCGCTGGGCCTGGTCTCTGCCCCGCTGGGCCTGGTCTCTGCCCCGCTGGGCCTGGTCTCTCTCCTACTGGGCCTGGTCTCTGCCCTGCTGGGCCTGGTCTCTCTCCTGCTAGGCCTGGTCTCTCGCCTGCTGGGCCTGGTCTCTGCCCTGCTCGGCCTGATCTCTCGCCTGCTGGGCCTGGTCTCTGCCCTGCTTGGGCAAGTGTTATAGCTTTTTAGTTCCACCAAGTGCCCGAGACACCCCACTTCGCCAGCAAGCCTCCTGTCCAAAGGTACCCAGCTCTGTTGCTCTGCATGTCAGCAAGTCCACTGTAGCTGCCTCCCTCTGAGGCCCAGGAAGCCCACCTCACTGTCTCATGCCGGTCTCCTGGTTCTGCTGCCACCACTCCAGTGTTGGGCTTTCTGTCTCCTGGGTCTAGGAGGTTCTCAGTGCAGGGACTCTGGGTCCAAAGGATGCGCTCCGCTCCAGGCTCTTCTTGATGGTAGTGAGGTCCCCCTCGGCCTCTGTGGGATGGGTGCTGATTCAGGCAAGCGGCTCAGTCCTGTTGGGCAGATTTTATGTATCCTGTAGGGCTGCTATGAGTCAGAATTGACTTGATAGCAACAGGTTTTTCTTTGCGTAGTAACTGACCAATCCCCTCATAAATGGTTCTATTTGCATAATAGCTGACATTTTCTGCTGGCAGGGCCTGGCTTCTTCCCTGGGCAAAGGGAACAAGCTTCTCCAAAGGACTCGGGCAACTGTAACAAGGCCAACGGTAACAAGGGCAACGGAACTAGGGCAACGGTAACTAGGGCAACGGAACTAGGGCAACAGAACTAGGACAACGGAACTAGGGCA